AGAGACGAATTTACGGAATTAACAGTAGGATGTCACGCATTAATGTCTAATAAGTAAATATTAAGCCAATGGAGTCATTAACTGAACCAGTTAGAAAAAGCGCTTTAGACGTGGTGCAATATAATCTTCGCGCTGCTGGTTACGTAAGCTGTACTATCAAATTGTTTAATATGTGTTAATAATTACATTTTTTAAATGAAATTAATACTGAAACGCGGTGACATAAAAGATTCGCGTATAAAAAATGTCATTTCTAAAAGAATGAATTTGTAATATTAAAAGTAATAAAAATTGATACGGAGAAATGATACTAAGAAGCTAGTAGAGTTTATATAGTTCTTTCTTGAAATATATGCCGTCGTATTCTCTTTTTAGAAATCTTACATTACGCGGGTCGTTTACTTTGGGGAATATCACGGAACTCACGAAGTTTTACGAAAGGTAGGTGGCATCGTAAATTATATGTATATCGTATCTCAGAGTTTTGTAATTGCGACCGGAATAATCTTCGGGAACGATCTATGATACTTCGAGAAACGATAACAAATATAATTCGCGACATTACAGTCGCGGCGGTGACATTCAACGAAGATAATGAGTGAATGTCAAAGACAATTTATGTTCCTGTCGTGCGACACTTTTATAAAACAATACCACTTCAAAAATTCTGATTTACACAACTTGCAATAAAAAAAATGTATACTTTTTATATAATTTACCATATTTTGCAGAGAATGGAGAATATTATACGGGATTTACGCGCGGATTACAATAACATGCCCATCACGGGACTGTTTCTTGTCTACCCGACATGTTACATCCACGTGTTAGAGGTATTTGAATATTTTTATCTCCATATTATACAACGTTATACCGTGGAAATGTTGAAATAAATTATCATCAGCTTGAATTGCAAACCTTTGAATTGTAAAATCTCTACCCGGACGATCGCGATTCTCATTTTTGATCCATCTGCCCGCGTCGTTATTTGTTTCCTAACGCGAGAAATGGAAATGAGGCAGAGATTTATTCCTCTTGATAGGCGTGGGAAGATATCATTTATAAGCACTACGAGCTTGTGTACGCCGTGGACGACGATGAATGTAAATTCGGGAGAGCAATTCCCCTGCCTTCGTATCATCACGTTCATCAAGTCAGTGGCCTGATATGTTGTGCATGTGCATATACCGTAACAAACAAACAAAAAAAAGATTGCGCATACATATTGTACTTGCAGAGATACTTCTCGGGGTGGTGCCACGTCTACACGATACCGCCGACCTTACTGGGGACGTTAGAAGCTCGTACGTTGGACGAAATTCTAAAGCAAGTCTCAAACTGTCTAATAAAGGTGTACACGTTATGCGAGTATATTGCGAACGCGGTGCGTGAAAAGGTTTGCAATTTTGCAGAGATCTAAAGGAGATATAAAAGCGTCCACGTGCGCGCTCCGTGCGCACGTCGGACAGAGAAAGAGAGAGAGGTTTGATGAGGCTTCAAAGAATTGTCTGAGGAATAGATAGGAAGGGGACGAAGAGGGGGGGATTCTGAATTCGAGACACACCGAGTACATAAAGCTAAGAATTTTCTCCGTTTTACTCCGTGACGCTGGTTTCATTTGATTTTACAGTCGATCGACGTTCAAGACGTGCTACGGAACTTGGGAGACAAAGCGGCCCGGTATCTCCCCGAGAGCACGCTCCTCGAGTTTCTCTTGAACGTGAACTCGTCCGTGCTCAAAACCGTCGAGGAGTATTTGCAAATGTATTCCGATGCGTCGCCGAGCCCGTTCTGGGACGGTAAGAATTACACGTACACCGAGTAAGCAAAATGTTAGCTGTGCGCCGGCAGATTATCGCGCCGGATTCACGTCGGCTTGAGCTTCTCATCAGCGGAATCTGCCGATATAATTTTGCGAAGGATTTACCAACGGAAATCGAACTAAATTTTTTATTTTATAAGCATTTAAATGGAATATATAATGAAATGAAATAATAATAAATTAATAGAAATAAATGGAAGGATAAATTATATATTTCATTTAAAAAGCTGCGAAATAACAGATTTTGCTCAATTTCTATCAATCAATTTGCCATTATATTTCTGCTGGTACTCTGCCAACGAAGCTGACACTTTGCAAAAATTGTCGATAGATTTGGCTGGGTACGTGTTTATACTTTGAATTTCGCAAGGAAATAAACGGATTACATAACGTTGAACATCAGTAACTGACTGAATGACATCGTTGATCGCCGCTGAGGGGCACAATAATCACGCGTGTCGCGTGAATAAAAACGATTATTTATTTCAGAATATTTACAATATCAAAAAAACGTTCTGGGGTACATGAGACTCGTGTGTAAGTGTATGTGTGTGTGGGTGTGTGTGTGTGTCGGAGATAGTCCTAAACTAAGTACATATACAAACTTCAATGTTGTCTCGCGCAAGCGGCGGCTGGTCAGATCCGGTCTCATTATTACGATACACAGGCAGTGACGCATACGAAACAGTGCAGCTCTTACCCTTAAAAAAAATTAACAAAAAAAAAACGACGTCCCCCTAACATGTCTCGTTTACAGTCGATACTTTTATACATAAACGAGTGCGATCAACATCGAAATATCATTTTCGCTGAGGATCCACCGCACCAGGATTCACGCGCGATCGAGGAATATCGACACACACACACACACACACACACACGTTGATCTTCCAGCTGACCGTTTAATTATTTTTTACAGATAATAATGTCTGGCCACCGCCTTGCGATATTATGCCTCGCGACGTGTACGACGGTCGAACGGTTCCGAATCACCGGAGCAGCGAAAAGTAGAGACGTGCCCTGGAAATCCAACTGTCGCCAGCAAGACGCGGAAATAAAAGGTGACTTGTCATCCCTCTTTTTTTCTTCCTTGATCTTTCCTTTTGGATTTAATCAAACGTGCGAATAAAAGGGAATTAATAAATATATATTTTCCCAGACGAGCTCTGCGTTTTTCGTTAGAAAAAAAATCTATTATATTAAAAAGTTCACACTTTTTTTCGTAGCACAGTGCGCATATGTATAATAATGAGATCACACGTACGAACGAAGTATATAGAAAACTTTGGCAGTTTGGATCCAGGATTTTATTGTACGTTTTTTTTTCCTTTCTCGTTCCTGTGAATTCCCCGTCGTCGGAGCGCAGAATCTCTTTGTTGCAACGTTCTTTTATATTGCATACGGCTACAATCTCTATTTGTGTGCAAAAGTTATAACAAGGGGGAGAGGAGGAGGAGGAGGAGGGGGTGGGGGAGGGGGAGGGGGAAGAGGTTGAGGAACGCGCGTATCGGCTGCGTATCAACGATTACTAAAAATTCTCTTTGACAACATACACTCACAATGTTTCCGACATCAATTCCATTAATGGCAGTAATAATAATAATCAACGATTCATCTCAAATTTTTTTAAATGTTAATAGATCTTCACGGGAGCGTCAACGTGTTAACGTAACGTCTAAGTGATCGAGGAAACAACGTGTGTTCGCCCTAGAAATTGTCGTGACGGCCTTCTTACGACCGCTCCGTAAAATCTTCGACTCCGCCGTTTCTCTACGTTTTCCTTACACATCGAATAATTCGCTAAGTATCCCCGATAATCGCCCGTCGTTCCCCATAATACGGCGAAACGGAAACGCAGACGCCGCCAGTAGGTTGCGCCTTCGTTCGTGTGTAGGACCGTCTCCTCTGCATATTCATTCGCAAGCACGTATAACAGACTGCAACGACGACGCGACTGCAAACAGTCACAACCTACATTTCCCTTTATAGTCAATTTGCGCGGAGTTCCGATCTGGTAGACAAATACCAGTGCTGTGCTTCAACGAAACTTTTGGCTTTTGACGGCATTGCCGCGTCGAAAGAGGCAGAAATCGTGACTCCGTTCGAACATAAAACTCGCTTATAGAGAAAGACGGAAAATCATTTAACGCTTTAATAATTAAAACGCGAAGGCAGCAACGCGATTTTTCCAACTAAAAAAAAAAAGGTACTTTTCGCGCTCTTTAAACGCGCTTGAAAGAGAGCTTTGTCTCGAATTCCTGTTCTAGTTTCCTGAAGTATGTAGATCTATATCGCTGCTTTCAGAGAAAAAGCGTGGAGTGCGCTGTAACGTCAGGAAAAAAAATATACAATCGTTTCGTCGATAGATTAATTACGATTACGTTATCGAAATCTAGAACGATTATACACACGACGATCTTATTTAGATATAATACGTGAACATCGAGGGATATCTCTCTCTCTTCTTCTCACGCCGTGCGAAGTGCAATTCGAATCCTCACAGTGTGTCCTTGCAGTCGCAGCAGGATCGTCGCGTGCTCGGAGCGTAATCCTATACGCGAAAAATCAATCTGTACAGATCGAGGCAAAGTACGGGGGGAGTATTTTATCACTTCGCGCGAAAAGGAGAGACTTCTGTAACGCGCGTATCTCACTAATAAGTACAGCTGAAATGCACCGCCCAGTAATCGACTGCTCGATATCGAGGGGAAGGCTATATGGTCAATTTTTATCTCACCTTTCGCGGTATTGACGACCCGGAGATGCGACTCGGGGCCGCTCTTAATCGACGAGATTATCCCTGTATCGTACGGAGGATATGACGAGGGCGCCCTTTCGACGAGCCTTCGTTTCTCTTCTTCTCTCCTTTTTTTTTCCTCATTTTAAAGCTATATGATACAGAGAGAGGCCGGGAAACCTCTGCCGAATGAAGTTACAAACGAGATTCACAAGCGTCGAAACAGGCAGTAAAATTAGAAGTGCTATCGCGATTACCACACCTTTTTTTTCCTTAGGGCGTAAATCGGGGGCGTTTCTCTCTCCCTATATAGAGTTAAGATTCAAGACTTTGAAAAAACAACGTTCATCATACTCGGTACATTTACTTCGAAGGGAAGTCGTTACTTTATACATTGTACAAGAGATACTTAATATTACGGTGAAATCCAGAATCCTGCAGACTGAGACGAAAGCGCGACGGGGATTTTCCTTTCTTTCCCCCCCCCCTCTTTTCCTCCTCATCTATCCTCTCCTCTCTTTCCTCTTTCTCTTCCTCTTTCGTCTCATTACTCCGCCGCTCTTCGTACGCCTCGTCTCGCACTCGATTCCCGCGGATGGAGATACAAACGATATGTCTCTGACAACTTCGCCCGCCCCCGTTTCTCTCTCCCGTACCCGCGAGAGTCCCGCTATTTCGCGTTTACGCGTTGTCAACGTTATAAATAATTACGCCGCGCGCGCGCGCGCGCGCGGCGTGACGCGACGGTGATGATCATCCCCCTCAGTGTACGTTATTCTGGTCTGACGCCTCCCCGACGACTTTAACGCATATACATATTTATACTTACATCGACTAGACAAATTGTACAGTGTTGTGTTTTCATAGTAAAAGTGGGAATAAATCGTTAATATACGCGACTCGTACAAAATATCTTCCGTGTCTCGAGGTATGTACAGGAGTATGTGCGGCGAGCGCTCGCGCGAGCTCTCGCGCACACGTACATTTTCGTAAATTCACTCTCTATCCGAATTACGAGGTGCCGGCCGTGGTTCCACCGGGGCTCGATCACGAGGCTACGCACACGAAATGAGAGAAGCCGGCAGAGCAGCCAGCCGGTCGGGATGTTGGTCGTTCTTCAGCGTAAAAGGGCACTTGATTCAACAGAGAGACGCAAATTCGTGATGTTTGTCGTGGAGTGGAAACGTAAACCCGTCGAACTCGAACCGGCTCGCACGCCCGAAGCGTCCCGGACAACACGGACGTCGGAGGGACGTGTTCCAGATAAAAGGAATCATCCCCCTAACGAATCGTTCAAAGGAGATTTATTTTAACTTTCAGATCTAGATGACGATTGTCCAAACGTCTTTCGGAGTTTTATTCCGAAGTTTCGTTCCTAAAAGACGTTCTCTAATTTTTCGCGCGACCTGTAGACATCTCCCAAAACGTTTCCTGTGCCGTCCAGGATATCCGCGCGGCTCTCTCTCTCTCTCGCGATTGACAACGGCGTGATTCACAGCAGCTCGCTCACGCTGCAGGTGCAGGCCCCGTGGTGGGTGTAGGGTCACACGGAGCTCTCCCGCTTGGCCATCACCACCGGCGTGCCTATCGTCGCGTCCTTCTGCGTCTGGACCGCCGGACAGCACTGGCCGGGCACTCGTGTCTCGCAGTCCTTCGCCGGCAACGTGCCGCTCGGACAGGTCCTGGTGACGACGCCCAGACCGGCGTACAACATCGGAGGACTCATTGTCATCGACATCGATTGAACGCTCTGGCTGGGCCAGTGTTGCCTGGGCAGGGTGCACATGCCGCTCTCGTAAACGTCGCTCACCATCGGCTGAAACTGAAACGTGTCACTCATGATTTTCGTACGTCTATGTATCGACGAATTGGTGCGTTTCATGTAAAATCATGTTATTGTTTGAGAGAGAGAGAGAGAGAGACTCGCAGGACGTTGTCATTATTCCGTTTCATTGTATCATCGGTTATTCGATTTAATCATTTAATCTAATTCCGATTCGTATAATCATCCTTTCATGCAGTTGCATAATACCGCTCGATTGTTGTCAATGTAAGCTACATTGTTATTTCGCTAAATATTTACGGGGATATTTACACGATCGATTTACGTTATCGAATCTTCAATGGAACTTACGCTTTTGTGCTTCGTTGACAAGTTGGAGAACTCGTGCAGCGGCATGCCGTTGCGGATTGTGCAGTAGCCGACGTAACTGCTGTGTCCGCTGATGGAAGTCACCGTCGAGTGCTCGAGAAGACTCCTTGACGGTGACGTTTCGATCGTTGATACCAGACGTCTCTTCCTTAAGTATTCCGACGGCTCGTCACCTGCGCGAAAATTTCACGACAGTTTTACAACCACCAAATTTCGCCGCGGACTTTTACGACCGTGTAAACACGAACGAGGGAGTTTCCGAAACAACCGCGTAAAAGTGAGCGGGAAGCGTTCTCACGGCGAGATTTTCTTTCAATCTTGAAGAAAGTGTGCTTTTGCGCACTTTGTAACTTATACGGCGAATCGCATACTCCTTTAAATTTACTATATATCGCATATCGAATTTTTAATTCTTCGCGTTTCTTTAAAAAAATTATATTTGAAAAGACAAAAATATGTATTTTTGTTAATTCTACATTTCTTAAAAATTTTTAAGCTCACTTTCGTGCTGCCCTGCATGACAAACTCGAAATTAATGCAGGAATCGCGAAGATACGAACCAGTAATCTGCTGCGGAATAATGTCAGGATTCTTCTCGTCGCTCTCGCTGAGATCGCCACTGGTGTCCAGCTTTCTGAACGGGCTGCTGGGATGCTTCTCGTCCGCGAGCAAGCTGCATCCCTCCCGGAATCGTAGCTCCCTTTGTATAGGGATGGCCTTCGTCTGCTTCGCGTGATCCTCCATCTGCGACTTGTTCTGCTCCTCCACGTGCGTGTGCTGGATCCGTAAAACGACCATCACGATGATCGCGACGATAATGAGAGCCATCACGACGCCGATCGTCACGCTCAGCATCGGTGTCAGGTTGTCGTGCTGCCTCGGTCGTTCTGCAGCGTTTACAGTCAAAGAATCGAGAATTAAAAAAGTGATTGATACCAAGCACTCGGGATCGTCTCATCGAGATGGTATCGCGTAAACAGCTTTCAATGTCAGGCATTTCGACACAAATGACGTTTCCCTTTAACGAAAACGCTTTTAACCACTTTAAAGTTTGGACGTGGCATCGGATTTTTAACGAATTACGTGATACAATAATTAGAACAGTTCGGCTGATGCTACACGAAATATTAATAACGCAACACAGACGTGGCTTTCGTAAAAGTATAAAAAGTGCGCGGGCACAGGTGTCACGCTTGACTTGTTTATACATATCCTGTCAAAACGCAATGAGTAATGCCCCAAATACAGCGCATTTTATTTCAATAGAGATATAAAAGCACGTTCCCCCGTCCGGACCCCGGTGAATTAAAAATTACGATAACAATCGCATCAGGCAAACACCGGGAAAATTGTCCGATGGTATTAAATCGCCAATTCCTGACCCGATTTTTCGCGCCAGGTCATAAAAGCGCCGGAAGCTTTTTACGCGGCTCGCTCGACGAATTAATATTGAGTCGATAGCTTTTCATCAATTCGGCCAATTGGCAGTGGCTCTTCGCTCCGCGCTGCCTCATCGACGTGGAATTTTTCCGTAATTACCTAAATCCCGCGTAGCCTTTTGGGATTAATACATATCGTATAACATCGAACGCTCGCTGGATACCGTGCCATAAAAAGAGAAACACGTTACAATACGCATAAAAAATTGGAAGAAGATTAAAAGGAACGAGATACGTATAAGGATTATAAAATTGTAATTTCACTTGATCTACGTTTTCGATCATCTGTATAATATTACAGAACGATACCTCTCGTCGGTTAATTCGTAATTTTAACAAGATCGATTGAGTTTCACAATTTTTATTCCCACAAATGTGTGCGGACTTTGTTCTCAGTTGTAATATATCAATTTTCTTTCGAAAATGCGGTACGGTCGCGCGACGACCTTTCACGTTAAAGAAGTTTTGTGTCGCAAGCAAAAAGGTTTGAAAACCCCACTCATGTATAGGATACACCACGTAAAATGATGTGATGGCTCTCGAGTCAATACTTTCCCGGAAACTTTCAAGTAAATCGAGTACCGGAGCTTGCCCAAAAGACATCGAAAGCTTTGGAGTTGTTAACGTTACGGCGAGTGTAGCAGGAATTTTTGAAATATTGAACGAGTATCAATTTAACTTTAATATACGTGGCTATGTGCATTGATGGGGAACATATATACTTACATTATAATACGCATATGTGCGTTCGTTCGCCAAATATTGGATGCTTAGCGCGAGAATATCAGCGTGAAAATAGCGGCGCGTGATTGCTGATCCGGAGATACGGAAAAGAAATAAGAGAATTCTCTCACCCGACTCGGATGTCAGTTGTTTTTCCGGCAGCCTCAGAGTGCCGGCCTGCACCACCATCGCCTCGCTGCGGCCCTTGTCGTTGTAAGCGTAAATGCAGGCCTGATAAAGGGCGCCGGACTCCAGGTGAGTGACGCTGAAGCGCGGCACCGGCGACGTCAGATTGGCACGCAACTCCTGGCTGTTGCTCTCGCGCACCTCCAGTAGAAAGGACTGCTGCAGGCCGCCGTTGAAGCCCTCCGAGCACCGCACGGAAAACGAGTTGGTCGACGTGTTCGAGGTCGTGCAATTGTGAACCATGTCTGGTCGACCTGTCACGGATAAAGTTCGCCTGCGTTTTAAAATGCTGCGCGTGCACGAGAGACTATTCGCGCGCTCGTAACAACTCGTAATGGCCACGAAACCTCGCGATAATATCAAGCCGGAGGGGGTAACTTTCAAGTTCTCCAAGTGCGCCCTTTCGATAATCGATATTCTTTTGCACGCCCGGAATTATTAGGATAGATAACAAGACAGATAACAAAAGGGAAACAATAGAAATGACGAAATGACGACGATTGTTAAAGTTGAAATAAAAAAATACAAAATCGTATTATATGCAACGATAAAGGATATCGATAATTTTCACGATTTATATCATTTTTTTCGGAAATTACTATCGGATCGTGAATCCGATTCAGTGCTTTAAATAATTGTTAAAACAATATTGTTCGAAGCTTTGACAGATTTAGATTAAAACATCTGCTTGCCTCCATTCAGCGATGGCCAGGTGAATTGTAGAAATATATTGTAAATGAATTAACGATGTAAAAAATCGAGATATTTTTGTTTTGCATGACAACCGGAAAAGCCTCTTAAGATTGCTAACAATTTTGCATTCAGATTAAATAAAAAAAATGTAAAACAATTTTTTCCCCCGTTCAATTCTATATTTCGCAAAAAAATTGGCTTGTCACCTTTTATTAAAAATGGTTAATGTTCAATATAACAGCTACATTTTTCTGTAGTTTAGAAAAATAAAATAACTTTTTCTCCTGAACCATAGAACTCTAAAGCCCCATAGATATATGTTCGGAATCGAAAAATTACAAACGAAAAATATATGAATAAAAAAAGAGTACGAATGTAAAAAAAAATTGCGTAATAACTTCTCCGTAGTTTCCTCGAAGTTTGTTTATTTCTACTTTTTTACGTTATATTAAAGTGCGCTGAATTTTAAGGGAAACTAATTACATAAGTAGAACAGTAACTCTTCAGCGTCAGCAGTTTTTGCAGTTTACTGCAACTTTCAATGCTGCGTTCTTTTCCCCGCGCCAAAATGATGTATAGTTTCATACAGACGACGGCAAAGGGAGGAAAACGGTTATGCAACATATCGTTTCGCGTGCGGTAGATTCGCGAATCAGGGCGTGATAGTTGCCCTGTAAATCCGGTGCGCTCCGGCGCATACAAGCCACTTGTAACAGAGTCGGTTGTAAAGATATACGGCCGTCTGGCTTTTTTTCTGTAAAGGCATTAGCCGGCGGTACACTTCGCGGCTCGTAAAAGCCGGTTAAAAGGGCGCGAACGAAACGATAACGGCACATTGCGTCGTGGAGAGACAGGCGAGAAAGAGAGAGAGAGAGAGAGAGAGAGAGAGAGAGAGAGAGAGAGAGAGGGTGGAGGGGAAATAAAGAAAAGGAAATAAGCGGGAATATGCCGAGTTGTTCTCACGTTTATGGTTGCTGAAAAATCATGGCGCACCAGGACACCTGCTACCATCTCTTGCAGTGTCCCCTTTTTACCCGGCGTCGGATTCGCCTGTTTTTTGTGGTTTTTTTTTGCGGCGCGAGAGCTGTTTTCCTTTATATCCGGAATGCGCGTATCCTTGTGTACGCGTACGCGCGTTTTCTTTGTAGAGCAATCCGATAGCACGATCCGCGAATCGCAATTAATTGGTAACTCGAGCATCGATACGCGGCGGAAACGCGGACATGAGAATAACGGGGTATGCCAATGTTACGGATGGATTCAGTAGGGGCTTATATAGATTTTTTAAAGTCAAATTTGAATAAAAAGCAACTGAGTATCGGATTCGTTCATCGTAATGGTTTAATAATTGAAAAAAACCCCAGATCTCTTTTGTGCCGGATGTCTTATGTTGCAAATGCGAAAAGAGAGAATTTTGCGATGTAGTAAGAATATTCCTTAAGTTTTATCTACATTTCAAAGACTTTTGACATTCGAAGATAAATCGCGACTTCATTATCACGTTATCTAATTCACATCGTTATTATAACAATACTAATTGGAATTAATTATGGTTGCAAGCCTTCGAAGTTTCACGTAATTGGATGATTTTATTAAAACGAGGCGCGCGCGCACTCACCCTCCTCCCCCCACACACACACACCACGCGTCTTTCCAATTTTATTACTAAGATTCGAATTAGTTATTCAATTAAGCAAATGTGAGACTTTGGAAACTAGGAATAAAATCCGAATCCCGTATATTAGCATAAAGTTGCAATTCCCGAAAGATTTAACCCCTCGGGTGAAAACTGTTAGCGTTATATTGTTAGTTTTACTAATTTACGAAATTACAGGCGAATGAAGCGCAGGATAGAGAAATTAATTTCGTGCAAGCATATAAATTTTTAATATACGAAATGTAGAAACGATGTTAAATTTATCACCACTGGCTCCTATTATTCTTCGTATTATATTCTTCTTTCTGAAAATGGAATTTCCTTTTCTATTTCCTATCTATTCATTCTAATTCTCGCCAAGGGCAAATTATAAATTAAAGAAGAATCGAATTGAGTTAACGTGAGAGGTATTACTTATCGATTTTTCTGAAAAAAATTTGTTTGTAGTTTGCATAATTTCGTTACGCCACATCACGCAAACTCGTCGTCGCGACGATCAATCTTCTAGATCGAAAATTCACGCCGCGTATCGGCAGCCACGTCGGTTCGCATTTTCGCGAAATATTCGCGATACATACATATACAGAATGCAGAGATATACCCTTACCCGCCGGTATAATGTGATATACACAGGGCACTTGTTGTTGTCCGATGTGATTGCTGGCCCAGCAGAGTAACGTGCCATAATCTAATTCCGTCATTGGTGTGTATGAGACGATAGAGGATGTGCCAGCCCGCGCGATATGGGTGGCCGCAACGTCGATACTCTCGGCGGAGTTATTGAAGGTCCACTTGAATTGCACTTCCGGCGGATTTGCATCCACTTGGCAGGATATATTCGCCTTCTCCTGTTTCGCCACGCCGTGGACCTTCGTCTGGTTCGGCTTGCACGTAGGGGCGACTGCGGGCACGAACGTCGAACGTCACCAATAAATAATTGGGGCGCGCGCGCGGACGCGAGGGATACCTTCGTTCTGTGCGCTTGGTGAATTTCTTATGCCACCGTGGCGTTAAACGTATTAAGAATGATTTACCGTTTTTTTCACGATCTATTTCAAGTTTCTCGCGAAGGATCTAATAAGAGAAACAATTTGATAAGCTATAAACAGGATGCACAATTGCTCGAAAGGATATCATCGTTATCCTCAGTTTCAATTATTGGAAAGATTTCTTAAGAATCTGGATTAATATCTCTTCTTAAGTGTTATTTCAAAATGTTTCAGTTTTTTATCTTGACAACTCAGCCACAAATTGTATTTTTGAAACGTCCCTGTAATTTTTTTTTAAACGTGAGAAGTTTCTGTCGTCTATTATTCTATTTAAATGAATAAAGCATAATTTGCATAGAGATATCTTAATTCCAATGCTAAATAACTCCGCAATAATAATAAAATAGCTAAAGTAAAATCAGGATTAAAAAATTCACCTCTCAAAATCCACTTCAATATTTTAATATAAATCTTTTAAAATAAATCGTTGGACAGTTTAATTTTCGGCATTAAGCAATTTTATTATTAATCAAATTAGACATTCTCCAAATCCGCTCAATCCTTTTATTATCTTCTTTTATAGCTGGCCGGATAGAATGTTAATAATGTGCTTATTGTAATTTTTAACTGCGAATTTCTATATTAAAATATATACGCGGGCTTCACAGTTAATAAGCTTTACGTTTCATAGTCAGCCTGCGATTCGAGGCACTCGGATAAATTCAAATATTGATTAACAAAACTATTGCGATCCGAAATGTTTCGATATCACGTCCGATAATCTGCGCGCAAACGGATAAACAGCTGGGTGTCCCCGATAATAATATTGTACGCGCAATATTCACGGGGGACGTATAGAGATGTACGCATGTAAGCCAGGAATTAAAATTTTACGAATTTACCGGGAGTACCGAATCTTTGCTCATTACAATCCATTATTTAATTAAAGCCGATCGAATACGCTTTCATTGCGGCCTTCGTGCCGTCGTCTCGTTATTATTCGCATTCTTAACGCGATAAATAACTCGAACTATAATTTCACTGCACCGAGAGGACTTAGCACCGTATTTAGGACTGTAACAATCCGAATAACGGATTAAAATCGATAAGCATTAACAACTATGTATTTCATTTTTACGTTGAAATATGATAAATAACTCTAATTATTACTTAGCTACATTGAGAGGATTTAGTACTGTACTTAGGAATAGTACTGTAATCCGAATAACAGATTAAAATCGGTAAACATTAACGTCTATATATGTTTATAGAGTGAAATATTTTTGATTATATATATAACGTTTCATATTATTTTACCGAAAGCATTATGGCACTATATTGACTCAGAAAAAAATACTAATTAATAAATCACGCCTGAAAAAGAATTCTAAACTTAATTTATACGCCCCGATGGCACAGAAATAAATCCTCCTTCGCTGTGTGGGACGTCTGTCTTATTCAGTGTTCTACTACTAGCGCGAATGTAAGAATACGTACACATCACGTTCAGATAAAAGGGCGAGCTCTCGCCGTCGCCCTCGGTATTGTATCCCACACACGTGTAATTGCCGGCGCTTTTGCGATCGACCCCCTGCAGCACCAGGCTCTGGTTGCTGATTATGATGCCCTGCGTGATGTTGTGATGGAGAGTCTTGCCCTGAAAGAAACACGATAATTGGCGTGTCTCTCTCTCTCTCTCGCTGTTAGACTGAACGTCCGGGAGCTACGTTCGTATATAAGCAAGGATTATTTCCCCGTGTCTGTGTATGAGATACGGCCACGCGAACGTGAAGTGAATCGCGGCAATACAACATCTTCGCTCGTCAGAGAGCGGGAAAGGTGAGTGGGTACTCATCGCGCGGCAGGGGTGACGGCAAGTTATTATAAAAGTTTGATGCTTCGAGCGTCGAAGTTTGTGTATTCGATCTTAACGTAAGTCGATGCTCTCTCGCGTGGCGCGCGAGCAGGTACAGGCATAATCGAGCTTGTTAGCCGGCGAGAGACCAATCTGTTTACGACACCCCGGGTTTTAGAACTTTCTCGAGCGCGCGCGAGGGATATACGGGACGAATTACTCGCGCGACGAGCATTGTTACGCATCTTCGAGATTGATTAATGATAATTCGCGGCGAGGCGGAACGAGGGGATATTTGCGGAGACAGCATCCCTCCGGTCCACGAGTGATTCACGAATATCTGGATTTTTTTCAGAGAATCATCTCTGGAAGATATTTTTCGATGTACCGAGAAACCTTGTTATACGTAATTATGATAAATTCTACTTCGCGCACGAGAAACGCTGTAAACGCGGTAATTGGACTGTTAACGTAAAGTTAAATCCTTGATTAATCAAAGATGAAACTTTTAAATAAATTTCGCTGAGTACATTTTTGTAATTTCAAGATTTTGCCCTCTGCAAAAATTTTTTTTTTTTCTTAGATTTTTCTCAGTCAACTTTGCTTTTTACCAGTCTAACAGTCTGTGATTTTCTGAAAATGTTCTCTATCTCATGTTTCATTTTGAGATAATTAAGTTTCGTAATAATTTGATATATTATCCCAGTATTTGCATAGCTCGAACTCTCAGAAGTAAGGAGGGAATGTACTCGGAAGTATCAAACCTTACTCGGAAGCCGAAACAACATTTCTAGTTTCAGCTTGAGTAATATCGTGTTCTCCCTCACCTGATGCCGCCACTCCACCTTGTACACCGACGGCTCGGCCTGTATGAGACAGTCGAAGTAGACATCCGTGCCCTCGCGTATGGTGTTCGGATTCAGCGACGTGCCGAGCTGGATCTGCGTCTCCGGCGTGTCTGCGAATCACGACCTTCGATAAACCGTCAAAATCGACCGGATTCCCGGCGTCTGAATAAATAAGGAAAAAGCGTCGAGCGCGAATCCGGAGGGGAAACGGGTGACCGGATTCGGGGAGGGGGGAGGGGAGGGGGGCGGGACCGTCGCCGTTTATGAGCTTACATTGTATCTGGAGTACCCAGCCGTCGTCTATCGGCGCGGTTCCCATGATTCGATTTTCAGCTTGACACGACAAGTGTCTGCCTGCGTCTGCTTTCGTCGCCATGAAAGATAAAACGCTGGTGGTCGTGTTCCCATCGGCGGAGGTCTGTAACAACATTATGATAACGTTCACCGGGGCCTCCGTGAACCCTCCTCCCCTCGCCTGTCCACCCACGCCGACACTCGTCGGCATTTATTCTCTTTTTTCCTCATCGAAACGATCGTTTGCCTATCCACCTCGCGCTGTCATCGATGGCGCCGACGTTCAACTCTCCTATCCCCCCATATATTAAAAGCGTATCTATCACCCGGCCTGGAGGGTCGGCTCTAGCTATATATATATATTCCCGAAATTCCCGATCAATCTCTCGTTACCCTCCTCGAGGGATCGGCCTATTTTCTAACAATAAAGAAGTGGTCTTTATCTTTTTTTTTGGAGGGGGACCGAACCGTCATTATGACGGGGTTTCACTGAATTATTCAATGTACGTGTGCCTGATTAATTTCCGCAACTTGTGCGAGGAAGTGCGCAAACAGTAAATAAGGGATCCCGCGCTTTCCTATTTTTCTAGGTTGTTTATATCACATACTGCCTTATTTATCTAATATATCAAAAACGCATCTATCAATAGAGACTTTATCTAAGAAACTTTATCTTGTACATGATGAAACTTCTAAAATGTACGGATAATAATGCGTCGTATAACATAGCTTTTGACGTATTGCTTCTCTCAATTTTATTATTAAAGAATAATTTTTTCAAAATATACACAGAGCTTCTTTATAAATAAATTCTTATTTTCTTTTAATGAGGATGTTTCCAATTTTCCGTCTAACAATTACTTATTATTAGTATGAAGCGTATCATACATCCGTCTTTCACAGCAAAAATTTCTTTAAATATTAACAAATAATCCAACATTTTCTTTAGACTTTATTTCATTCTTTAAAAGCGGGGAACAAAAAATTGTAAAAAAAAATTAACAGCAAGAAATATTTATATTTACGGTCATTAGAACATTCGATTTGAAACCGTCGATAATCGATTCGTTTTACGTAACTCGATCAAGTAGTAGACACCACTGAATAATCAGACGCGCACCTCCGTGGAAAGCCGCGCGCCCGAGGAGGACTTCCGATTCGATTTACACCGTCGGGGCGCGCACTCAATGTAATTTGCAAGCTCGACCACGGCTCGTACAGCTCCTTAAAGTGACCATAAAATAAGGTTCCCTCTCGCGCACGTGCATCCGGTGTCCGCGCGCAAGTGTGTCTCACTGCGAGGGCATGGCGCGAGAATTATCGTTATCGCGCCATGCCCGAGGCCGCGGTAAAAGCGTCGTTAGAGGCGTCGAATAATTTAAATCAGAGCGTCGCGGGGCGATTCCGCGAATTCGCGCTCGTAATTAAGGCGAATCGATGCCTTAATGGGACGCCGGGATACGTCGAGTGGCCGGTTAACCACCCCGTCGATACGATCGCCGAAATTTATCTCTGTCTATCCGGACAATCGGAGGGGGTTTTCGAGCGCACGTGAGGGTGGATAAAAACATGGCAAAGCCGCCTTTTCCGTAAATGAATTATTTGCCAGTTAGCGTTCTGTAAATAGTGACCCGGCCGTCGTTTGCTGGCAGTGCCAGGGACGAGCAAATAACGCGTATTAATGACGGAAAGCGAATTTTTTTCTTTACTATCGATTTTGATCGCAGAACAAATCGGGCGAAGCGCGAGGGTAAACCAATACGCGTGTACCAATTTTATAACAATCGATCAGTGTATATACGAAACATTCGCATGAGAATTGTTTTCTCTTTGTTGTCCGAGCAAATACTTTTCAAATAGCCCCGAGGTGTCGAAAGAAACGCGAAATTTATATATTTTTTTCTTCCTTTATCTGTTTCGATATCAAAGTGAAAACTACTTTGTCGAGCGGCTATTATCTCCGGATAAAATTGTGTAGCAAAATTTATATCGCGCCTCGTCAATTTGATAACTCGATATAAGATAAAATCCAAGTAATTCATTCAGGCCGACATCAAGTGAGACTTGTTTGCCGCAAATCATGAAAAATTCAAAAGTTTCGCTCTCTCTTCCGCACCATATTTTATATTTTAAATAACATATCGTTACTCCCGTACCGAAATCAAGCGTAATTTACAATTTTACACTATTTAAAAGTTCCGTAGTTAACGAAAAATCAAGTTCATGGATTATGAAGCACCCGTAATAACTCTGCTTTACGTTTCGTGAATTAAATATCCTTACTCGTCCCGTGCAAACGCTCGCTCCGTCCAATAAACCGAGTTTAGGAATTACACTCTTCGCATAAAACTGGAATTATAGCGCATGGGACGCAGTCAGAAAAAAAAACGCATCGCCCACATTACTCATATCCCTGAACGAAATATAAAGCAAAATATTTCATAAAATCTCAAAATATTCCGAGGCGGTTTTTCAACTTTCCCGTGACATTGCAGGAAAAAGTGGACGCGCGCACAGCCGAGCGAGCCTTCAATCTCGCGCGAGAGAGGATGCGACGCGACGGATGTAACGCACGGGACGCGGGATAATACCCCCCGCCCGCGATTCTGTCGCGTGATTAAAAAATAATCGCGGGGCAGAGAGCGCGCGCGAATAATAAATTTCGCGTCTTGTCGGAGGGCAGGGGAGGGGGGGGGGGGATAAATCAACGGCAGGGGACTCTCGCGCTCTAATTTCGTTTCGATGGCGGCGGCGGTGGGCTTCACGCCGTTTCACGCGGTGGCCCGCGCGCGCAAAGATAATTACGAAATGAGATGCGCCATCCATTAAAAATATATTTCCGACTGCGCATTCCGGGGAAGGTCGAATCGATTAACATAATTGCTGCAATTCCGCGATACGATACGAGCGAGGGAAGAGCGGGGGGGGGGGAGGAATTACTCCACGTTGCGAAACCCTCGTTTACGAGGGTGTTGTGTTTATCATAACTATATTTTTTAGGGTAGCTATTTTTGCACGCGGTTGCGTAATCGCGCGAGGCCGAGAGGAATGGGGATGAAGAAACTGCGCCGTGAAACTGCGTGATTACGGGAAAAGTGAGAAGAGGAACGGGCCTCCTCTCTCGTACTCGGTCGACATTCCACCGTGGATTATACCGGTTCTCCCGTATTTTCCTCCCCTTCGGCCCGTCTCGCTTCTGTATTTAACTTTCTTATACATAAGCAGCGAAACAATCTCCAGTGTCGCGTCGCCGTATAGCGCGGGGGGGTATCGACTTTGAAACAATATTTTCTCTGTCCCGCGCACAGCGTCGCGGGCCCTTCGTCCCCGTCGCTGTCGTCGCTCTCCCCGCGTCCTTAATCCGCCGCTACCCGGCAAATATTTACGTCGTCGTCTTAAGTGCGGATCAAAACGCGGCGGATACGACGTGCGCGTCGCGTTGTTTGCGCATCGTGTCCGTGTGCACTACGTCCCCTCGCGCACTCCGCGCGCACCCCCGCGTTTTATCGGGGTTGGCACGGGGGAAATCGAAGTAGAATAAACAGCGGCCGATGCTCGATTTCGCCCGACAACGGGTCAATTTATTCGAAAGTACGTTCTTTCATTTCGTTCGCTAATCCGCGTTTCCATTGACGTTTGTTTGCTTTGTATACGAAATACCTTCATCCGTTTCTCGCGACAGAAACGCCGCGCCCCGGTTAGAGCGTTCGATTTACGTTAAATCGAAATTTATTTCGCCGCGCGCACGGAATGAAATTGAATGAATTAATGAATTGTATCGGAACGGAAGGGATAGAGAGAGGGAGAGAGAGAGGATACACGCGCGCGAGAGAGAAGATTCCATTCTCGTAGATCAAGTATCATCGTAATCGCCCCGGCGAGATATATTCTTTATTCGAGCTGCGCGCCGTAATTAGATTTATCGATATTTGCGACGTACCTCTTCATTGCCGTTGATTAATCCCGTAACGACGAAATGTTACGCTTTTTTATCGGAGCACAGTGTATGACTCGATTGTGTAACGTCGTTATAAAGCAGTTTCTAACTTTTTTTCATTTTATTTTCAATTCCACGGCGAATCGATGCAAGATTTATATGGAGGGAATTTGGTATTTTGTGAACCAAACGTTCGAACTGTTCAATAAACAATTGTTTTACAACATTGCCAGCAACTGTTCCAATATTTTTTCTTTCTGTTAAAAAAAGGAAAAGAAAAAACTGATTCCTAGTAATACGCTAGTTATTAACTAGCGTATTACCTAATTTCATCTGGAAAGTAATATTTAATTCTGTAAAAAAAAAAATTCTCCAAAAAATCTTCAATAAAATAGATAGATGATAAATAAAATAAAACAAAAAGCAGAAAATTAATACATGAGCAAAATCAGCTGTGAATAACACAATTACAACAGTAAGCGGATAATGCATTGAAAATATTCTTAACGTTTTCAGTCTCATTAAATCATTGCCGCGTCATGCATTAAACGTGACGTTCAATAGGAATATGTCTCGACGTTATAGATAGCTGAAGGATAGTTTTATTTCCTATCAATTAGACATAATCCTTGCACGGCACTCTTCACTATAAACGGCAGTCAATCACGTAATCGGCCTATGTCTTTTTTGGCGACGCTTAAATCCCCGGAAATTGGACGTGGAAATTGCTTTGCCGCAAAATTAGGAGACACATGTCAGCCAGATGAGTTGAGGCGCAACGGGAGATTAATCGTTTTTCGTTAATGAAGAGATTAATCTGATACTAAATGTATCGTCAATAACACACGACCAAAAATATATTAATTTTACTTGGAAAAGGTTATATAATTACACGTTTCTCTCGTATTTTCTGATATATATATATATTCACATCAGATAAGTCTCTTCTTCCTCTTCTTAAGTTAAATATAAATTAAATAAAAATAGAGGAAAAAGGTCTCTCTCGGAAACTCTCGTGATATCTTCTACAGTTTGGCGAAAACACAGTAAATATGTGAGAAAAATTCCGAAAGTTTAGACACGCGTAGGAACAGAACTTTCCGGCGGTGACAGATGCGTTTTTAATATATTAGAGAGCATAGACGATAAAGTAGCTTAACTTGGCATTTATGCGGATAGTTTAACTTGATTATTGTAACATTTGTTCACGTTTACATTTATTGCAAAAAATATAACAATCGGAAAAGCAACGCATTACTGCAAGAAATAATAGTATAATATATGATTTTTTTTTAAAGAAATACTACGCTTCTATTTTCTGGTTTAAAAGAGTTAACTATCCACGTGAATATGCATTAACCCGATATCCTTGATAAAGGGATCAAGAGATTCTCTCTTATCCCTAAGACTGCAAATTCGAGTTTATGCGCCACCGAGAATACTTGGGTGGAATGTATGTTGGCGCAAGGACGAAAATTGTTCCATCAAGGAACACACTTACGGTCTCCTTGGAATCCACTAAGCGCTGACCGTTCCTCCACCAGGTGACGCCGGCTGGTGGCCTGGAACCGGAAGTTGTGCAGACCAAGTCGTACTTCTTGCCCGCCGACAGCGGTCGGTTTCCGTCAATTATTTTCACCTCCAACGGGTTGACTGAAAATTATTCAATTCACTGGTTAAATAACGCCCGACACTTCCTATTCTTTTGTAAATTGTTTGTAAAAAAAATATTGAAACGTTTCACAAAACTTGCATTGGTAAGAATTTTTAGAACCATTTTATTTAAAATCAATTATTAGCACGGTTTTGATTTAACTTAATGGATATAAAACGTCAATACTATTTTTATTTTACACTAAACGTTCCAAATCAACTGAAAAAAATATTAAAAATAACAGGTATTTTCAGTTAAACAGAAATAAAATTTTATTACCTTAAAACGCGGACAAAGAAATAATAAATTCGTCTAGACAGAAAATCTTCGAGCAATAAGATACATGCCGAATTGAAAAGGTGCTCCCGCATCCCCTTTGCAGTCATATAGCCGGTATGACGAATTTTAAGCGTGGGATCATAAACTCTCCCTCTCCTCATTAATCCTACCGCGCTCTCTCTTTTCCGCTCTCTTACTACTTTATCACGCGCCATGTATCTTGCCGTGCGATAGCTCAGGTACCATAACAAAGTGAATAACTTAATTTAGAGCGGGGACAATTAATCTTGCGTCCCATCTTGCGCGCTCTTTTTCAGGATGATTCAAGTGTTTCTCAAGGCGACTTAGCAATGAGCATTCGTGGATTCTTTTCCGTATGTAAATTCTTCCTAAGTCGCCATGTACATCCATGTACAAAAAGAAATGTATCAAGCCGAAATAAAATAATAATTTGGACAATATACGGTATAAGTTTCTTTTCGTCCAAACTGAGAGGTTTTTTTTCCCCCCAAGTACAAGCTTTATCATCACATTTCTTTATCATCGTAGACTTTTCCGAGTTAAATAAATTTCTCCCAAGTCCCCTTTCGCATTTCAACAAAGTATCTCCAATTTACCGCTTCCGCTTCTCGACTGGATGTATCGGTTTAAAAATTTCGCGGTAATCCCGGCGTCTAGCAAGACAAATTAAAAAAGGTCCGCAATTAATTAACCCCACTCGTTGTTCTAACGTCCCCGCGATAACGGCGCGAGTAAAATTAACCGCCCGGCTGCCCTCGACCACCGCTCGTTTCTTCGTTATAGCGGGTCGCTGGCCGCAAGACGCGTACCTTCCTGCACGCCAAATTGACGTTGATAAATCCTCTTTGTTATAAAGCGATACATCATCGGCGCGCACTTCGCTCGCACACGAGGAATTGAAGTTATTCAGAAAATTGTCGCTGGTTGTACATATATACAGAACGCCGAGTATATGTATATATACCACTGAAATATTGACTTCCAGCTTTTGATATCGAATAGTTTTCGGTATTCTCTTCACTTTAATGGCATTAGAATCATAATAGATTTAATACCATTAAAGAATTGCCATTAGAATTAATATTATTATCACGATTATTCGATCGACTAATCTTTTCTTATGTTTAATATGCTTTAAAGTCAATTACATTATGATATATTATTATATTATAATGGAATGGGGAATTTGTATAATATGCTAATACGTATCTCAAAAATCAATTTTTACGAATTCCAAGAGAAATTACAATTATTCCGAGATAGATATAATATTGAGTAGATATTATTGTCTTCGATATTGGACGCGTATCGGCTCGTGAGGTTTAACTCAAACATCCGTACTTGACGCGGAGCGCGTCGTAATGCTATTATTCGCGCGTCCTCTGAATTTTCCAATAGCCGCGCGCGCGGATAAAGATTTTCATCCGAGGGTGCGTTGAACCCGGGGAAAATTGCGGATCCCGTTGCGTTGCCCCCGACTATACCCGTACGTTGCACGCGATGTGACTGAGAATTTATAGAGGCGCGAGTAAGGCGATTGTCGATAACGGCGCAAAATGACCGCGAACGATGGTTTTGCGGATACTGGAAGCGCCGCGCGCAAATCGGTAATGGTAAACGTTGCCGCCGTTGCGTATACCCCTGCCGCCGTCGGAGGCGGCTTTGGCCATTGTATTTATAGGACCATGCATTATGGAAGTTCCTTGATTTACGGCGTGATATGGACGGCGATAAGCGTCACAAGTTGTATGGACCGAAAATATCCGTACGGAAACGATCTATCTTCGTCGTTCTTTTAAAGTAATTTGCGCGCACGTCCATTTGCGGATCCGCGGTAATTATTCGCGGAGGACGGCGTATTCCGACGTGACGTCGAACACAGAGAGCTTGGGGATGCTGTGCGAAAACTTGTCGGTCTTGAATAGCATCAATCGGAGTAACGGACGGGTATCCGCCTCATAAATGACATTTATTAATTAAAAAGGGTGGTGTTGCATTTTTGCAACCCGCTCCCACAAACCGTCCTCCTCCCTCCCGCCTCCCCCCCCCCTCCCCTCTTCATCTCGATAGGTTCCGGCTATCCGGCGATGAGAGCACATAATGAAATTAATTAAAGCCGATTCCTATCTTGCTGCCCGCAGTGAAATCCTCGCCGATATTATTCCGCCCTACAGTTTTACTTCCACTCAATAATTCAAGATCGATTACAGAATTATGCCGCGTGCATACGCTCCATATACCTCAATCGCTCGTAATTTCAGCTTTATCATGAATTTATTGACGGATAAAGCGCGCGCGCTTTCTGAAATAAAACAAGGATTTTACTGCTATTTTGGGACAAACATCTATCTTATATCGCGGCTGCCGAAAATTACTATACTTTCTTGCAATACCCTCAATATTTATATTGATCGACACACAGAAAAAATTACAAATGCAGGAAGTAAAAAAAAAAGTTTTTGACAAACTGAATAATGTTTCGAACGCTACGTAAAAAAACAAATTGAATCTAGAGAATATTATAAGCGGGGTATATCTCATTTCTCTCTCACGAAATTGAGTTATCATATTCTTATCGTGTAGACTCAGATCGAAGATAGAAACATCACAAGCTTCGGTAACTCGCGTGGAGTAAGTGTGCACAAATATTCCAGTTCCAACAGAAACCCTACACAACAATATCTTTTTCCATCTTGAGGAGTCTGGTTTATCGAATAAATGGGATTTCCCCAAACTTCCCGATTCAATTGGATGGTGATTTTTATCGTAAGTGACGCAAAGGTAGAACAAGCTTGTAACTCAGCACGTAAAATATCGTATTTGGCTTTTATCTTTCTTGTCTTTTTTTTTTTAACACGACTAAATCAGATCAGAGAGAACGCATTCCAGAATTATTATTAAATAAGCCATCTAAACCACATATCGTTGGTTCATGCAAAATTAGCGTTTGGTGGGTCCGCACGGCCTCGCCCGCGTGAATAATCCAATTGGGAATATGTGGGATACCGTCCCTGCAATTTGGTCAGCCCGTTACCTTGGGGACGTCTCCATTCAGCAAGAAAGAAACTCACTTAATCGCACCGCGACCGTCGCCGCCGTCGCCATCGCGCCCAGACAGCCCGATTGCCGGAGTAATATTTCAGACATTCTAACCCGTCGCCACCGGCAATAAGGCCGCCTTGCCCCCGACATTGCCGTTGCCGTTGCCACCGTCGCCACCGCCGCCGCCGCTGTCGCCGCCGCCGCCGCCGCCGCCGCCGCCACCACTTTCCCCAATTTCCACCCCCTGAGTTACGGCTCGGGACTAATTTACATGACTTGCACCGAACTAATTCGAGCGGCGGTCGATAGCGCGCCGACTAAAGGGGTTAAAACGACGTTTACTTTATTACGTAATCACGGGGAAACCTAATATTGACAAAGGCGCGACGCGACGGTGGGCGGCGGGGCGGAGGATGACGGTGGCGATGGTGACGGCGGTACCGAGACGCCTTACCGATCTCTCTCTCTCTCTCTCTCTCTCTCTCTCTCTCTCTCTCTCTCTCTCTCTCTCTCTCTCATTCTTGCTCCCGCTTCAAAGAGCGAGAGGGTGGTTATCCGTCCTGTCGCTCGTTGTGATGCCGCGAGTCTTTGCGCCGCAGTTTGTTACTTACGATTTGCAATTCCGCCGGTGTTTGAGTTTACGGATTGAGATTTATGGACTCGCAATCGGGGAGGCGCGGAGGGGAGGGGAGTATAAGGGTTAAAACGAGGCGAGAGAGAGAGAGAGAGAGAGAGAGAGAGAGAGAGAGCCGGAGGCCCGGAGCCGACGCGCGTGGCTACGTGCACGTACGCGAGAAGCGTCTCGTTTGCATCTTAATCAAGCGACCGTTTCATTAGCGATAAGTTTCCCAGCATGCCCGATTAATTAATGCAACTGTAATGTTGCCGCGACGTTTAACCCTTTGACGCGTATCACGTCATCCTCTTTTCGCCGCGGCTCCGCGCGGCGCTTACTTCCGGCTGTCTCGGAATCAATCGCGCTCGATAATCGATCATCACCGGTGTTTACCGGACACCGACCGACAAGTCTACGATCAAATTAATCATCGTCAATAATCTATTTGTGAGCGATAGTAAGGAAAAATTACGAAGATGACAGATCTATTTTCTTGAAAGAAAATGATTGATTTAGCAACGTGGTAGATTCTTAAGTGACTAACAGCTTGTACCTTGCTTTTAATGTGTACATTAATTTCAATAATTTTTACGCAATTGATTACGTTATCGGAAACGACGTGAAAGAGCGAATGCATTTATTTACATTTTATTTTAGCAATCTGTCAACGGAATCCGGCATATAATAAATTTGGTAAGTAAAAGTAAATTTTAACAGGCGATTGTAAAGTCTTATGTATTAATAATTATAACAATTAATTATTAGCAGCAATTTTTAATAATAAATAATGATTGTGATAAGTAATGTATAATAATTAATAATTAATTAGAACAATTATGTATTTATATCTTCATGTAATTCAAAACTTCGTTCCAAACACTAAACATATATGTTCATGCGCTACTTGTATAACCTACATTAATATATGTATATATAATATGTATATGCGTACATATATATATATACTATATTGTTGCAACATATGAATTTGTTTTCAAAGGATGAGAAATACGTGTATCTTAAGCAGATTAACCTGCTTTG